TCCAAAAATATTTATAGAGCCTAAAATCCGCCTTCTGCAGTGCAACAGTACGTTCCAATGAGAACATCAACGGCCGACTTTGAAACTCTCGTCTATGCAATCGTATGAGACATTGTGCTAATCGCTAAGGAATATTGTTCCTACTGCACAGCAGATATTGATGCAGAAGTTTAGGTAGCCACTTGACTGTTCACAACATTTCAAAGCATATGTATCATAAACTGAAGCCTGTGGAAGCAATATTTTCCCTGTCGCTCAGTGTTCTGAGGAAGGCATTGTCTCCACTTGAATTTGCGGTCTTTGCTACGAGTGACACTTTAGTGGTCCATCTTGCTATTGAAAACAGTTGATAACTACGATTGCATGATCAGAGCCTCCAAGCGGCGCCCCATTACAGAGAAAAACATTGTCAGCTGGTTAACAGATGCCATGTCTAGAATTGCTCTTAACCTGGTTGAAGAGTCTACGATTTATCATGAGAGCGTTGTTAACTATATTGAAATCAGCGGCTGCTATGCACAAGGAAGATTCTAGGTATTCGGGGACAACAACTATAAGACCCTAGTAACAGTTCGGTTTAAAGCTGGTGCAGCTAAGAAACTATAACTTTTGGCTGATAAAATCCAACGATAGCATATCGTGGATTCTGGTTTTCCTTTTCCGATTAGACAGCTTATACGTTTCAAAGTGTAGCGAAGAGTCCATTTTGTCAACGTATATCATGAAGAGTTGATGTAGGCGATAACGCCTCCAACCTGGTTTTGTTGGTACTCGGCGGTCAATGCGATAATAGAGGAATCCATCGGGTTCCATGACTGCATCTTTAGCGTAGACGTGAAGCTAGGTTTTCTGTAAAAGAGTGACGCTTAATCGAGACTATTCACAATAGTCCTACACACTTGGAGTTTTAGTTTTCTAAGAAACGATCAGATGTTGGCGCTGCGTAAACTGGGGATGCTCATACCCTCATTAGTGTACTCCTTCAACTTTCGTGATACTTTTTCATGACTTTCTTATGTTACTTTTGGATTATTTTTACTCTGATCTTAATAAGCTGGCGATGGAAAGGTGACGAATTCATATACGTGAGAACACACTTGTGTAAATAATCATGTTCTCGGTTGCAGGATGAATAATTGAAGTGTTAAAGCATTAGTGTTGCGATATAGTGCTGACACGTAAAAGTTACGGTGTACGGCTCAGTTTGAGGGCGTTGCTGGTTGGTAGCCCTTGCACCATAGTGTCTTTGGCTGCTACTCATCTTTGTGTTGAATTAAGTTTTACGCAGTGTTGCCTACCGCCACTGCAGAGGTTTAACTTAATCATGACCCCTAGGAATCTACTTACACAGCGGAAATGGCATTTGCGTCATTAGTCCACAGTGAGAAGCGTACGGCGGTCACCATACTCAGCTGCAAACGTTTAATCCACTGTACAAATAATCCGCTCGGAAACCCAGACCGGCCATCTTCCACGATCATCTACGTTTCATTGCTGAGCAGTGTCAGTTGTATATGCATAAGCATCACTCCTGACGCGCTGGCAGTCGTGATCTGTGAACTGTCTTGTCTTATTTTCGGTTAGGGCGTCAGTATGGCCACTGCATCATCGCCCACTCATACGTAACGTCCCACATCAAAAATATCATTGTTACCCACAAGCCCATTAATGATTGAGGTCCCATGTTCACGTACTTACTCAGCTCATTGCTACGCCAGGTCATGGACCATACCTTTTAACGCGAACACTTGTGGCATCTTGTACTTGCTGTTTGAAGCAATCGGATGAATTTCTCATATTTCGACCTACCTAATTGGAGCACAAACTCTGAATCTGTCCGTTTCAAAGAGTTCTAATACATCGCCTGACTAATCGCTTCAGAATTGCCCTTGAGAGTTTGTGGATCACTCTAATCGAAACTCCCAGTGCCAATGGGAATGCCTGTGTACCGTTCCAACTTTTCCGCTTTACTTGTCTAAGAGCGATTCACATGAGTGAGACAGCAACTGAGAATAACGAGCAGCTTATTTACTCGGTCCTATCGGCTAAAACTTTTGGTATAGATCATCTATGGATGAGTGAATTTACTTGTCAATGCCTCAGGGTCATGGTGACATCCGACCGCTTTGTGCTCCACGAGAGCATACTAATGTCTGTGTAAAGGTTTGGTACTCGCTAAATCGAGTCTTGTCTGCCGCTTATTGGTGCACGATCTATGGATCATACTAAGCACACACAGGACAACGATCAAACGTTAGGACGTCCCATGATGGAACCACTCTTTTAGTCTGGTGCGGTTACGGCGATTGCACATTCACTACCCCTCCGAAGCAACGATTCAGAGTTTCCCGAAGAGACGCATTTGGCGGATGAACACCTTACCAGTCCTTGTGTCAGGTGCCTCATAACTTGACTTAACACCCAGGAATATACATACTTCAACGACACGCCAGGCATGAACGGCTAAAGTGTAATGGCAGTCGTCGCCCTATTAGATCCGGAACCAATACTTGTACAGTGATGGCTGCATCACTGCACTGCTTCCTTGACTAACGGGATTAAGCCGCGACATCCAACAGCATTAGAGTTGGTAAAAGATGATTTTCTAAAGCAAATATGTGTAAGTCGGGTGATTTATGGTGCCTCAGGGGGTCGCACATACCCAACCGGGAATACGGGAACTATGAATAACTCAGCATGCTAGTTACGACTAGTCAATGCACCTGGCAATTACCTGAGGATACTCACGCACGAAATGTGTTCATACAAGCAGTAATGATTCACTTTCAAGAACTGACACTAGAAACCGCTTTATCAGCCGTTAATTTCTCATACCAGCGTTACCTCAGTGCCCCAAGATCGCTGCACATAATTGGTTTCCTAGGCAGTCAGACTGTTTTGATTCACTTGCTCATGCCATTCTGTTGCACAGCCCCTTTTTATATAGTGTGTACTTAGGGACTTTTGGGGTTTTTCCCAGGGACTTCAGGACAGCTAGTCTTCCATACGTCCAGGAAAGCACTAGACGACTGTTGCGTCCTATTGAGACTTACCTGTAGTTCGATTCCCTCGGCTCCATCGTTGTTGGAACCCACAGCCCATTGACACTAGCGGTTTGTGCTACTGACCAGCAGTCTGTGCCACGGTCGCGATTGGTGACGACGATGAATTTTTCTGTTCTGCATCCTCCTTGTCGTAGTAAGTGGACTGCGCTTAGATCTGTTAAGTGTGCTTTCTTCTGCAGTCACCACGGCATGCGAAACCATTCGAGACATTTTACTCTCTTTGTATCTTTATGAGCATGGTAGATTGTCCTTTGTATCACCTCTGAATTAGAAGAATTTCACCTGATAATTCCCATTGCATGCTTCGAGTACGCGAATTCTTTGGTTTTTCGGGGGTCAGACCAAGCTGTCATGCAAACGTGCTGGGTGAGCTAACGCAGAGGTCCTCATCATTCGGCTTGTGCCTCAATCTTTTTGAGTTAAATCACGTTTTTTTCTTGTCTGAGTCCACACACCCCTAGTTCTAGCTGTAAGTGTCAAAAGCGATTAGGACCGTTAGACAACACGTAGACAACTGATCTGCGAACTCCAAGGTAGATCCAATGATCGACTGGGACGCCCCACTGATAAAGACAAAAGACACAGTTGATGCTGAATTGCGGTGCGATTATACAAACAATAAAATGTAATAACGACATACTTCAACGATGTCCTCAAACAAAAGACGGATACACTCAGTTAGCAGTTACAACAACAGGACATCAGCATTGAGCCAGCTCTGTCGCCTGTCTGTACTCGTCGTGCACAGCCGCACCAATCAGGAGACCGACAGCTATTAGCCCAATCAAATCGGCTTAACTATAAGCTGGATGGGTAGGTGTGTCACCGGTCAGAAGATAGGTGAATCGAAGATCCATACGGGAATCGGACAATAGTGGAGATGGTGTGTGGGATACAACAAGTACTGGAAAGCCAGCGGGAGAACAGAGCGTGAATCAGAGAATGGAACAACGAGGCTAGTGATGCACTAACTGTAAGTTTAGCAAGGAAAACAAGTAACTAGTGGACCTGCGTGCGACATTCAGTGAGTGAGATCAACGAAGGGAACTGGGGGCAATGACCAAGGAGCAGGGGAAGAGTGATTTCGATTGATCACATGTGCGTTATACTAGCTATTAGTAAACTGCTGGTGAAAGTGGTCGATCGAGTCATTTAGTAACTGTGTCAACTCTATTGATCACATCAGTTACCGGTCACTGCGCGCGGACATGAAGAACCTGTGCGACTTTCCACAGCCCCTTCATTTGATGGGACAACATGAGATTCACCGGTCGGTTCTTGGTTGTAAAACCTTATAATGCGGTGAATATCACTATACACATCACTAATCTGGTCACTGCAATATTTTGAACATAAGGAAAGTGACTCCCGTTGCTCCCGGGGCATTGGTCTTCTTTAACTGGTTCACTGAGTGATGCATATCAGGGTTCCCCTGTTATTGTTTGGTATCCGATTTCTAATGCTACATTGGAACGCTTGGTGCACTGGAATCGTCCACGTTGGCCATATCACGTCCTTCACATGTCTCCCTGCAGACTGCCGTAGGTGGCATTTGCCGATTCTGCACGCCGTTACGCGCTAGATGACGTTATATAAGCGTGCTCAAAATTGTTCTGATGAATACCAACACATTGTACGAAGCTCACCCCGGATTTGTCTAGCCGGCTGACACATTCACGAGTCCACCAGTGCTCTGATGCTCCGTTTATCGCTGGCATCGGTTTTTTCGTCTTACATCGGTGGCATTTTCACTCCTTTCCTCTTGAATCTCATTCGTGTTTGTTCGCTTACATTCTCTTTTTCATTTTCCATCGTCTGCTTCGTTGCAGGTACCTAGTTTATGTTACTACTATCTATCGCTCTTCCGAGCTGGAATAGCTTGTGACAGCTAAGCTTAACTGTTCTTCCTACCCTTTTTCTTTTTTCATTCTACAGAAATCAGGGCAAATATGATGAAGCTTCAAAGCTGCTACATGAGGTACTGACCATCAGAGAACGACTTTTCGATTCGTACCATCCTTCGGTAAGTTTCAGTGCACTCTTCCATGCGTTCTCAACTATGTTGGTCACATTCGTTCCTTTCTGTTCCGCGTGAATTGGTATTCGCGTGACCCGCTCTTCGAAAGCTGCCGCATGCATCAGTTTGGTTGTGCATTATGCAACATTTTTGCATAGTTTTTCGATTTACTTTTTACTTTCAGCCGTTGTCTTAGACTGTCACTTTTGCTCATCCTATTTCGATGTCTCTGGGCGGCTTCCCTACTACGCTGCGTATCTAGGTAGTTTGATGGGGCGCCACTAGCCACCTGTCAGACTACAACCCACTTGTGCAACAGATATGATTTCAACAACCTCATTTCAGCGATTTTCAGCGCTTTTTTCATTTTGGATTCCTCGTGTTTCTTCTGACACTGACGTCAACACGCGCAGCCAGTATCGCGACATTCAGATCAAACCACATATTATCGGCTGGCAAAGCGCGTCCCACTGAACGATTTCAGTATCCTACTTTGCAGACAGATTTATGACCAATCACATGGAGCTCCTCAGGATCGTTTAGTAATTGGTTCACGTGAGGCAGTGACTGGATTGCGCCGTATCGTCGACGGCTTTTCTCACTTATCCCGTGTTTGGTGAGAACTCAATATACCAATCTCAGACATTTGCTTGTGAATTAACTTTGACAGCAGCCATCGCTTGCTTACCATTTCGCGTTCTCTTTGTCGCGCAGTGCCCTCATCAGTGTATGCAGTAATCCCAGTCTTGTTGCACCGATCTGTTGGCCACGCTGATATTCGTACCCCTTTCCCTTTGACTCAGGATGCTGGACAAGCTGCACCTATGTGTATCAAAGGCGCACATACCGATTTATCGTCACCTTGCCTTATGTAATACAGTCACGCCGATTGAGACTCTATTTCCACGCAAAAATGGATTTTAGTCACCCCACTGTCAACCGAACGACAGCATCGTAAATCTCATTTAAGTTGATGAATGTGGATCGTTGCCAACTCGCAAATCCATACCATTTTTGTGGCCTGACCGCTTGCATACATAACTCACAGGCACTTTTTATCGAGCATAACAGTGCTTTGAATTATGGTGGTAGAATCACTCCACTCTTGGACTCACATAGAACTTTCATCGCGGTTTGTTTCTGCGTTACAAACTAGATTTACTACCTCAAGAAAGTTAAGAACTCTACTCTGTAGGACTATGCTACTCACTAGGCGTTTCTGCCCACTCGCTGTTTCGATCGTTCTAACTTGAGTCACAGATTCTGACGACGCACGAATAATGCCGTTTCTGAGCGGTTCTTATTGGTGCGATGGTTTGTGTATCTCCTTGACCCATTGAGCTATACTGTGTGGTGCTTCCGGGCTCCTTGAGAGCTACTCCTACCAGGTTGGAGCATGGTGAGAGGTCAGACAAACTCAGTCTCCTGATCCTCCAAGTTGGGGTTGGAAATGTGATAGCGTCTATTCTGTAAAACTAAATTATTGCTACTTCCCTGCTGCTTTGCGGACAGGCTTTTGAGTCAAAGGCTTTGGATGAGGACCCTAATCGTCCTTCTGTCTAGGTCTGGCGCCCTGGCAGTATCTCAACCCACATACACCATGACTTTTTCTTCCAACGTAAACTTCGCCTGCATTGACCGTCGCGCAGATTATCAAGGATCGCCTTATCTGCTGCATACAGTAGGGCGGATAAACGAAAGCACGCTACTGCTCGCACCTCCCTTCTTTTTTTCCACCTGTTTCTCTTACTCCAACCCGAACCCATTACTAACATTCTATAATTCCCAGCTTAATTGACGGCAACCGAAGTGCCACTGGAGTAAAACCAACTGCAGCTAGCTTCCCGTTCTACCTACTAGACGCCTATCTGCAACACTCCGTTATAAGGCCACGCTGTTACGTTCCATGGCGATGTTCCACGTTCGCACTCTAAGAAAAGTAGGTCAACAGGATGCACTCGCACGCACCTTAGACACACTGGGTATTGATGTGTGTTGTGTGTCCGAAACTAGGATCAATGACCCCAACAGGGTTATTGAATTAACTGCACCGGCTTATCCTCTCGTTATTGGTTGCACGCATCCGGAGACGCGATGAGCACTCACGGGTCAAGCTAGTGTAGTATCGTTCTAAGCTCCAAGGCTGAGCCATCGTTGGTTGATTGGATTCCGGTGAACAGCCGTTTCTGTGCGGCCCGTTTGACGACATCAGCTAAGGTTGATTCACGAAGTAGTACAAAACGCTGTTTGTTTGAGATTCCAGCTTACGATCCCAGCGACTGCAGTTCAAATGCTGTCAATGACACTTTCTATCACGAACTGATCGCGCTACTACGCAGTACTACTAGTTCAGATATAGCACTTGCAGAGATATGAACGCACAAGTGGGGCGTACGAGCCATTCAGAAGCTCAGTTGGTGGTAATTATGGGTTTAACTCCAAACGGACTGACAACGGCGAGCGTCTGAGGCAGCTGTGTGCGGAGCACCAGCTGTTTGTTAGTACCACTGTTTGTAGACACAGTGGGCGCCGAACTGCCACTTGGCGTCCCCTTTACCTGGCCAGCAATGGACCAAGATTGACCACATTGCCATAACTTACAAGTTGTTTGTTCCATCCTGTATTGTCGCTTTTACTATAATACCTGCGTCGGCTATGCTCACGCCTTAGTGCGCCGTCGTTTCTCCATGAACTATACTGGGAGGCACACCAAGCGTCTCCTCCGATTGGCAACTGAGAACTTGTCTCAGCTGACGGTCAGTCAAGCGTAACAAGATACACTGCAAACCGAACCTTCGCTGTCTGTTCTAATGATACTGAGCTTCAGTGAATAGGATCTCGGCCGCCATGCACGACGCAGGAGCATCTGCTTATGGCACTACCCATATTCACCGCACCAGTCACTGGATATCCGAGAGGTCGATGAACCTGTTGGAATCTGGGACTGAGACTGAGACTGTATTTAAGAGCAAGTAGAAAGGTTTCTGTACAGCTCTATCAAATTACGAAAAATCAAAATTTACTTGTGATTATCAGCAGTTGTGTTGGGTCCGTTACTCGTTTATCCTTGTTCGGTAGAAATTTGTACTAGTGTCATTTTTACGAGCACACAATGTCTTCTTTGGCACTGTATGTGCATCGTTTCACAAAGCACAGGTTTCCAATATAATCGGCGATACGGGTTTAAACACTTCACAAAATCTGCCTCTATTAATCCTTCAGGTAGTGTATTTCATAAGTTTACGATTCTTCGTTCGATACAAAGCTGATGTGATACTTTGTTCATGCTGGGACCCGAGTTTGTAACGATGTCCCGGTGTTACAGGGTTCCCGCAGGTGAAATATTGGCCGTAGTATGGGTAAGTGATTCAAGTGTAGTACTCGATGGGTCATAATAAGGTCAATTCTTACTCGGCGATAGGATAGTGTGTAGAGTCGAGACTTTCACAACGTTTTTCATACGGAAGCTTTCGTAGACTTGGTATCATTCTAGTTGCGATATGCTGGATTTTCTCCAGTTTTCAGTTTCCATTGGGTTATCGGATGGTAAGCTGGGCACCGTATTCAACAATTGGTCTAATGAGCGAGGTGAATAGACGAGGGACGGTTTCTTCGGACCATGTGGAGAAACTGCGTCTTAATGCCCAGAGCATACGAAGTCCGCACGGTACAATTCTCTGTATTTCTAGTGATCTCATATCATGTCGTGGGAGAACTCCTAAGTCTCTGACAGATGTGTTGGGATGGAGCAACTGGCCGTCCAATGTGTATGATCGAGTGCTGGACATCTGATGATACTGATGAACTCCGACTTACTTGCGTTAAGAGGGAGTTGCATTTCAGTGGACCACGTTGACAGTCGCTCTAAGTCATGCTGGAGGCGAGCGCAGTCGTCCTGGTTCTCAATGATCCTCCAGATTTTCAAATCGTCTGCAAACAGAGCACATGGTGACTGGAGCTGCTGCGGAAGATTTTTGATATGAATAAGAAATAATATTGGCCCAAGTACAGTTCCTTGAGGCACGCCACTGGTCGATGGGAACCAGTTTGTGTGATGTCATTGACCTGTACTCTAAACCTTCGTCCACAATAAACTCTTGTAACCACTGAAGTAACGTGCCACCGATTCCGTATGTCCTCAGTTTACGAAGGAGTACCTCTTGGTTCACTCTGTCAAACGCCTTACTAAAGTCCATGTAGACCACGTCAACGTCCTTCTGTTCATTGAGAGCTCGAACCACTGGTGGTTTGCGTACATCAAGTTAGTGATGTAGGATCGCCCTTCGTAAAGCCGTGTTGCGCTGCCGTCAATACGTCATCGATTCGAAGAACGACAGCAGACACTTTTTCACAACCTTTTGAGAACTTTGGATAATACGGAAGTCAAACAGATCGGTTTAGTTCTCTATTTACTCGGATCACCACCTTGAACGGTTCACTATCGAGCATTTCCAATCGTTCGGACGGATCCTTCAGAGAGATATTTATTGAAAAGTTTGTCACAGCTGGTGTGATGATAATCAATAGGGACTTGAGTATTAGTGCGTGAAGTCCGTCTGGTCCGGGGCTTTGCACTATCGAGGTTGACGAGTAGCCGATGTACTTCGATTGCATCACATTGTAGGTTGTCGAGCAAGACTTGCGCAACCTGTGCGGTACTGAAATCGCCGCCGGTTTACTGGAAAATACAGTAAGGAGGTGCGTAGCCAAGACGTCCGCGCGCTCCCCGCTTGAAATGAGTGTCTCCCGTCTAAGCTCTCTAAGACCGGTAGGTCGTCCCAGTTTCAGTTGACGTTTCAAGTAGGCAGATATTCTTTTGTGCAGTTGTGGCCGAGGATGCTAGCTCCTCTTCGAACCGCGGCGTTTCTTGATCTTTGCGGCGTTACATAAGTTACGCTGTTTCTTGTACACCGTGTAATCTTCATCACAACCGAGCTGATGTATCTATCCCAAGTTTGCCACGTCGTCCCGCTAACTGTCTATATTCCTATCAAACCAATGCGGTT